TGAGTGTCTGTGACGTTGGAACGGCCGTGAACTCTCTTCAGTGCTAAGAACATGGAAACTTTTGCGCAGCCAAGGGACAAATGGACTGGGAGGGAGTTGGTTTTAAACCCACACTCACGTCCCTCATATAAATCTAGTCCCTCCTCCTCCTCCTTCTCCTCCTCCTCTTCCTCTTCCTCATCCTCCTTCTCCTTCTCCTCTTCCTCCTCCTTCTCTTCTTCTTCTTCCTCCTCCTCTTCTTCCTCCTCCTCATCTTCCTTTTCTTCTTCCCTCCTTCTCCTCCTTTCTTCCTTTTTTTTTGGAAGTCCCCGATCCCTCATACACACCTCAGAAGCCATACTAATGATGACAGCAGCTGAAGAAATGTGGCCATCATATCAGACAGGAGTAAGATACACGGTAAAGTACACACGACAGATGATTACCCAGTCACAAAAAAGGAATGAGGACTGGTGTGTCTCTGTTCTGCTTTGCTTCTCTGTTGCTGTGATTAAAATAAAATGCTGGCCAAAAACAACTTGGGAAGGAATGCGTTTATTTTGCTTACAAGCTGAAGGCTGTCATGGAAGGAAACCGAGGCAGGAACTCAGATGGGAACCCGGAGGTAGGAGCGGAAGCAGAGACCATGGAGGGACACTTGCTAGCTTGCCCTCCATGGCTACTCGGTCAGCTTTCCTACTGTGGTGGTTTGAAGGAAAATGGCCCCCAAAGGGAGCGGCATTATTAGGAGGTGTGGCCTTGTTGGAGGAAGTGTGTGGCTGTGGTCCAGCCTTGGCTCGGGTTCGGGTCCTGAGGTGGGGAAGGGACATCAGCTCGCACGGAAAACTTCTGACGACCCAATGGATTGCACTCAAGTGGCCCCTAATAGTTCCAGTCATCTTTAGTCACACTTTAACAGAGTTTTTCTTACCAGGGTTACATGAACAGCTTTATTATTGGTCCAATGTTTTACTTTTAAGAAGTACATATTTTGCAAAATACATCGTAGCTGCTACAAAAGCCCTTTATGCTCCCCCATGTGCTTTCCCACCCCCTACGTAACCTTATTCTAGACATGGAGTACAGCATTTTTGCATGATTAACTAAACACTGAGCCAGATGCATCCTGCTCTTCAACCACAAATAGTTACTAAGTTTAAAAGTAATAGACGTGGGTACCATGCTTTAAGGACAGCAATACTCAAACCCAAACAACTCTTTCATGTCTCCATGATATGCTTTTACACCATTCCCATTTCTACAAGAGGGCCCCATGTCTGGATCTCTCAGTAAAAGGCAGACTTTGCTAAGGCACTCTGTCCCTTCCCACTATACCATACATCTTATACCAATATAAGCTCCTGTGTATGGTAAGGATGGGTCTTTCCATTCCATATTTTACGTGGTACTCCCCCCACCACTGGATCATACTAGATCCTATCGTTGATTCTATGTGCTTGGTGTCGGCACTCCATGTATTCCTGAGGCTTTTTTCTGCATATGCCTGCCTTACTCTCCCTTTCAGAACTGTGAGACATGGTTAACATTGTTTTCGAGTGCTGTTTTCTCCTACGTACCTGTCTCTATTTTGTCAACAAAGTTCCCAGGATTAGGAGTTGTAGTTACTAATTCCAGACTAAAAGATTTGAGAAGCACCAGTCCCCTGTTGAATCTTAGGGATACATATTCAAGAAAGAGTGGAATCTCCAGGGAAAATTACAGCTGTTATTTTGTGACTGACAACATAATGCTAAAAACTACTCAATGAATCACCAGTATAATGAGAGAGAGAAGAGCCTGCAAATTGCATGAATTCTGCAAATTCTTATGTTGTCCTGCGGACTACTAGTCCTTGCAAAGTGAGAGTCCTTTGTCACAGGTGCCTCGCCCTGAGGAAACCCATTGGACAGATAGTCATGCGCTGATCCAAGACTAGGCAGCAGGGCTCCCAACAGTGTGTCGCTGTGTGGGGGCAGGGTCTCTTTTTCTCAAGCTTCCATCAGAGTGACAGGCAGTAGACTTCCTGTTCCCTTCGCGTCGCGTCGAGCACCACATCTGCCTTGCTGCTGTCATGTTCCCCATTCTGATGATAATGGACTGCACCCCTGAAACCTAAGCAAGCCCCCTCAACAAAACGCTTGAAATTACAAGAGTTACAATGTCCACGGTGTCTCATCACCATAATAATAATAATAATAAAAACACTAAGGCACAGATACCCAGGGACCTCCTGCGTCTGGATGACGCTGCCCACAGTGGGGTGGCCCTGTGGGGTCTCCCTTCACACACGCATCAGCAATGATGGAAATGCCCCAGAGATGTGACCGCAGACCCAGTCTGATGGAGGCAATTTCTTTATTGAGGTTTGCCCAACCCAGTGTAGGCTGTGTCCAGCTTACAAAAACTAGCTAGCATGGAGGATCCTTGAAAATATTTTGCTCAGTGACAAGAAAGAAGACATCATAGGCCATGGACTGCATGATTCCAATCCATATGAAACATCCAGAAGGCAAATCCAGAGTCGTAAAGCAGATTAACAGGGAACAGAAGGGGCGAATAGTTACTTCTCTGTGGCACAGAACTTTCTATTGGTCTGGGGAGACGGTTCCCACCACACAGTGTGAGAACCTGAGTTCAGATGGGGGATGTCCTTCCGTATGCTGTGAATATATGTTTCTCTTATTGGTTGATGAATAAAGCTGTTTCAGCCAATGGACAGGCAGGATGCAGACAGGCAGGAAGTATAAGCAAGGGTTACCAGACTAGGAGAAGTCTGGGAAGAGAAACCGTGGAGAGAAAAACATGCCGTGTAGCCACCAGATAGGTAGGACACCCAGGCATTCTCCAGTAAGATAAGACCACGTGAAGATATACAGATTAACAGAAATGCGTTAATAATTAGGAGAGAGCTAGCCAATAAGAAGCCTGAGCCATAGGCCAAACAGTTTATAACTAATGTAGGTCTCTGTGTGCTTATTTGGGACTAAATGGCTGTGGGACCAGGCGAGACAGAAACTCCATCATCAGAGCTCAGATCTCTAGAGCCCATATAAGCTGGGCAGGGTAGGACGTGTCTCTGATCCACAGAAGGAAACAAGCGAATCCCTGGAAGCTTTTGGTTGAGCTAGCCTGGTGTACACAACAAAGAGACCCTGCCTCAAACAAGGTGGAGGGCAAGGGCCGACACCCGAGGTTGTCTTCTGCCCCCCACACGCATGTGCTGTGACATGTGCACTCTCGCACTCAAACGCATGCACACCAAACAGACACACAATTATAATAATGTATATATGTGCCGGGCGCTGGTGGCGCACGCCTTTAATCCCGGCACTCGGGAGGCAGAGGCAGGATCTGTGTGAGTTCAGGCTAGCCTGGTCTACAGAGAGAGTGCCGGGACAACTTCCAAAGCCACAGAGAAACCCTGTCTCAAAAAAACAAAAAAAAAATGTATATATGTGCATGTAGAGATCAGGTGATGACTTTTAGAAGTTGGTTCTTGGCTCCTGCCTTTCTGAGGCAGGGTCCCTCTTGTTTTGGCCATGCTGTGTACTCCAACCTATCTGGCTCACGAGCTTCCAAGTGATTACTCCCCTAAGTCTGCCTCTCATCTCACCACAGGGGTTTTAGGATTTCACACGCATCCCGCCACAGCATCTGGCTTTTCTTTGCATGGGTTCTGGGCATCCAACCCAGGCCTCGAGACTTTCAAGACAAGGGCTTTTACCCACTGAACCATCTCTCTGGTCATGGAGAACACCTTGGGGATGGCAATGCTAGCAAGAAGCTGATAGAGTCCTTTCTCAAAGCAGCTGGCTGGTACTGAGGACCCTGCTTGCAAATTTCCCCTGACAAAGGGACATGGGTGTTTCCATTCCTCATTTATTTATTTTAAATGCGAGTCTCTCTATGTACCCATGGCTGTCCTCCAACTTGACATGTAGAGTAGCAGGCTGGCCTTGAACTTACAGACACCTGCCTGCCTCTGTCTCCCAAGAGCTAAGAGTAAAGACATGTGCCACCACGCCTGACACAATATTTCTCACAAAATCATTTCATTCTCCAATGTGCCTGCAAGGGAAATCAACAGACAGAGTGCCTAAGAAAGACAGACAGGATGAGCATTTTAAAATCCAGGAACTGCTGGGTTTCACTGCCTTTCACCTAGTTGGTGGCAACTCGCTCCACGCCTGCACGCCTGTCATGCTATAAATAAAATGATTTCATTTTTAATCTCACCTGCTGGAGCTAGTGCATCTGCAGCAAGGCCCACACGGACTTCCTGCCAAGTTCCATTCAGAATCTTACCGCTGTGCTTGGAATCACCCCAGCAGCTTCTGCTGCCTGGAAATAAGCCCCGAACTCCCCCACCACCATGCCTTAGAGTACCTCAGAGCTCACCCTGCCTGCTCTCCCAGAGCCATCCCTTAGCGATTTTCCAGCTCACTCCCAACTAGCCCTCAGAGTCTTCAGCCCTGGACCGGGCCTTGGCATTTGCTGTTACAACTGCCTGACACCCACTAGCCACAGCTTCTTCTCATGCTTCGTGTACCACCATCTTTTCTTTCTACCTCAAAGCACCTCTCCTGGAGGCTGGAGAGGTGGCTCAGAAGTTAAGAGCACGTGCTGCTCTTTCAGAGGACCTGGGTTCAGTTCCCAGAACCTGCCTGGTGGTTCACAGACTGTAACTCCAGCTTCAGGGGGATCTGGTGCCCTCTTCTGGCCTCTGTGGGTACTGCATACACATGGTGCTCATATAAACATACAGACAAAACACTCTTATATATAGATCAATTTTTTTAAAAAATGCTTTTAGAATATTTCCCCTGGTTACTCCAAATAAAATGAATGTCTCCCTCATTGTGCCTCATCTGACCTCCCTAGCCATGTTCTATTATCATTCTTTCCACAAATGTAGTCATATGGAGACGACTGTGAATTGTTCCCAACCCACTACCACCACAGCTAGGGTCAAGAGCGGGGCACCATCACTTTTGAATTTTATGTCTGTAATTTATATTATGATACTTACCTGGCAGGGGAGATACCGTGATCACAAAGGTGGTTTCCCCAGGGTGAGTTTTATCCATTGCACTCCCGATGTGCTGTCCCCTGCAATTTCCCCAAATTTGGGAAATTTGGCTGCATGCTTTGTGGTAGTGTGGGACTGTGTTCTTGCTCTCCTCTGGAGGAAAAAAAAAGAAATTTATATCATGAATCCCAACCACGAATGAAACGGAATTTAGATGTGGTACCTTTAGGGTGATTGGTTTTAGATAAAGTGATGATGCTGCTTCCATGATGGCATTAGTTTTATATGGTGGGAAAGACTAGAACTCAATTGTGCTCTCCCCCCCCTCTCTCTTCCTCCCTCCCTCCATCGTTTGCTTTCCTCACTGTGTGAGGACCTACTAAGATAGCTACATATCTGAAGCCTGAAAGATGACTTTCAGCCATTCTAGAATTTTCCCCATCCACTTTTCCCATCTAGGGAAGCCAGATGCATGGTAGCCCTTTGCAGCAGCACACAGAGCATGTCAGGCAGGAAAGATAAATATGAAGGCCCTTCAAGACTCTCCCCCCTCAATAATTGTCTTGAGCAGACCCAGTGCCAGTAACAGAATCTATTGCAAGCTCATGCTTACACTAACTGTGTTGTTGGACCCTTCCCCCATAGGGACTGCTGACCAGCTTGTGACTAGGATGGAGCATACCCTGTTCCCCTCCTTCCAATTAGACCTGTATACAAGTTCCTGTTTTCTGCCCATCCTTACTGTCTAAATTCAAGTTCCTGTTATCCACTCATCCTTTGCTGGAGGGCCCTGGGAACTTGAGCTCCTGACCTTGGTAGTTTTCCACCACGCTTGCTGACTGGTATTTAATGCTCTGCTCTTGTTACAATAAAGGCCATTCTCCTTGCAAGAATGAGCCGCTGTCTTTTGTCTTCATTTACATCCTCAGACCCTCCCTGGGATCACTGAGAAGTGTTGTAGCCAGAGATAGCTACACTGTGTCACACCCAGAAGATAGTATTTCGCCGCCCTTCTCTCCCTGACTGTCTTCTGCCTCTCTCATTCTTTCTGCCTCCTCATCCACAATGGTCCCTAAGCCCTAGAACAATGGTTCTCAACCTGTGGGTCACGACCCCTTAGGGGGTCAAATGACACTTTCACAATGGCCACTTGTCAGATATTCTACATATTAGATGTTTACATTGCTACTCATACCAGTAGCAAAATTACAGTTATGAAGTAGCAATGAAAATAATTTTATGGCTGGGGGGGTCACAACAAGAGGAACTGTATTAAAGAGTCATAGACTTAGGAAGGTTGAGAACCATGCCCCTAGAGGGAAAGGTATAAAAGTTGTGTTGAAGGATGAACTCAGCTGTCACTTTTTCTCAGCATCTTAAACAGTCACGAGTTTCCACATTCACCACTGTTCCCTGCAAAGACAAGTTTCTTTGATTAAGGCTGAGTAACAGTTATGCATGGGTATAAATACATTTAGAAAGTAGTTTGACTTTATGTCAACGTAGCTTAAAAGTAGTACTAAGTTCCCCCAATGGAACCTATGAGTTCCCCAGCCAAGTGTTTCTGACTAGATTTACAGTAGCAAGCGTGGATTCCCTCAAATCTAATCAGAGAGCGATTGGTTGTCTCAATGAGTGTCATGTCTATATTAACACAAGAGGACTAACCCTGCTGGGCAGGTTGGTAGTGCAGTTTGCAAATTTCACACTGTCTAAAAATAAAACAGAGAGTATATTTAGAGGCCCATACAGAAACCATGCAGTCTAAAGACTTCTAAACTCAAAGAGGAAGGGTCCCAGGGAACTCCTGAGAGAAATGTCTCTCAGATCTCCACATCTGAGGCTGAACTATTCCACGAGAAGCTGACAGCCACATCGCAAGGACTGGATGGTACCACTAGATACCAGTATTCAGCATGCCTGTTTTGTAAGGCCAAAAATGGCAATGTTGAGGAGCAAGTATCTTGGAGGTGAAAATACTGAGAAGGGTTCCTAAGGGATAATCTATTGTAGCGAGCTGCTGGTGTGTTCACAGCTACAGTGCTACTATACTTCACAACGATCCGAGGCTAAGGGCTAAGGATGAAAATAAAGACAAAGACAACGGCTCATTCTTACAGGGAGAATGGCGTTTATTATTACAAGGGTACACCCTTATATACCAAAGGCAGGCATGGTGGAAAAACACCAAGGTCAGAAGCCTACCTTCCCAGGGCCTTCCAGCAAAGGGTGAGCCAAAAACAGGAATTAGCTTTTATTTTTTTAAATTTATTTTTCAGTTTAAATTTAGATAAGAAACAAGGTTGATTCACAAGTCAGTTCCAGGTCCCTCTCCCTTTCCCTCCCCTACTCCCATGCCCTCCCCCCAACCCCCCCATTATCCCCTCATTTCCCCAGGGAGGGTGAGGCCCTCCATGGGGGTGTCCATAGACTGTCATTTCATACAGGGCAGGGCCTAGACCCTCCCCCAAGAGTCCAGGGTGAGAGTGCATCTCTCATTGTTGGATGGGAGTCCAAAGTCCGTGTGTGTACACTCAGGATGAGTACTGATCTGCTGCCCAAGGCTCAATAGATTACCTAGGCCTCCTCACTGACACCCACATTCAGGGGGTCTTGATCAGTCCCATGCTGGACAGGAATTAGCTTTTAGACATTAAACAGGAACTTGCATGCAGACCTTACTGGGAGGAGGGAATGAGAAGTGTTTTGCTAAAAGCTCCTAGTAACAAGCAGTCAGCAGACCCCCATGGGGGAGGGGTGCAACAATCTATGCAGCAAATTACTGCAAACCTGATGCCCAAAGAAAGTCATCTATATTTTTAAAACAGTGAAGAAAACATCTCCCTTCAAAATTGGTGGATTCCTGACCAACAGGCCTTGCATGTGAATCAAGTATTTTCCATCTGTATGTTTGTGTTTGCACTTTTTACATCTTGAGGTCTTGAAAACCATGTAGAGGGGGCTGGAGAGATGGCTCAGAGGTTAAGAGCCCTGGCTGCTCTTCCAGAGGTCCTGAGTTCAATTCCCAGCAACCACATAGTGGTTCACAACCATCTGTAGTGAGATCTGGTGCCCTCTTCTGGCTTACAGGCATACATGCAAGCAGAATACAGGATAGATAGATAGATAGATAGATAGATAGATAGATAGATACATACATACATACATACATACATACATACATACATACATACATGATAGATACATACATACATATATGATAGATACATAGATACATAGATCCTATAAACAAAGTTGATAATTAAAAGTAAGAGCACAGAGTGTATTTCCCAGAAGAATTCAGAGGAGAAAGCTCTCTCCCAGAGTGGGCTGCACCTTATGCTGCTCAGATAAGGAGACCTGAGAGACCGGCAGGCTAACTTCTGCCTGTCTGCTGAAGCCTTCCCTGGTGAGTGTCTCTACACTGCTGCCTCTGTCACCAGTCCCCCTTTGCTGGCATAAGAACTCGGATTTTTCTCAGCCTTCTGATGTGGGCTGAAGGTCAGTGGCTCTCCAGGCATCCTCTAGGCCTTCAACGCCAGATAAAGACAGCTGAGGCATCGAGCTTTGCGGACTGAGCAGCTACTGGGCTATCATCCGTTCTAACATTCAAACAGTCATTGCTGGGCTACCCAGTCTGGATTGTGTAAACCAATGTAGTAAAGCCACTATACAGTATCCATTCTTGAGACCCTGTCTCCAAAAAACCAAAACGAAAACTAAAAAGCCATTCCGTCAGTTCTGTTCCTCCGAATAAACCTGGCTAATGCGTCTATGGCTGTGGCTTCCCTGTGCAAACCACATAATCTAGAATCCACCTCCAAACCCACACACCATCCACCTTCTCCTCTGTTTGGTCCATCACGCCGTGGGTAATTAGTCTATGTCCTCAGCACTCCACGAAAGGCACCAGGCATTAAGGACACCCCTGTCTTCAGAGACCCTGAAACTACTAATGCTAAGCTTGATTTTCACAAAACACGATAATGTCTCTTGCTCCCCAGTCCCCCTTATTCCCAGTGCCTCCTGCCCTGCCCTGTGTTTTTGTGTGGTACAGCACATCCCCTTGTCTATAAAAAGCTACCCTTTCAAAGGATGCTCTCCCCCTGTCTGCTGGTTTCATCATATCTGCATCTTAAAACATCCTGATGGCCCAAGTGAAATGAGAGATAAGGATGCGCATCCCTGATGTTTGGGGCGGGGAAGGATGCCACCGTGAACATTAGACCAGCTCACCTTTGCAGAGCTCACAGAAGGCTCAATGCAGAGTCTGTGTCTGGCCAAGAGAAAGCTGCCTAGAAAATGAGAGCATCCAGAAGGCTGCGTGAGGGAGAGACTGGCCCCAGGGGGTGTCGTGGTGAACAAGCACTTCAAAGGGCAGGACAGGACAGCAAGAGTTAGAGCATTTCCCACATGCACTGTGGAGGAGACAGATTCAGGGAGCATCCAAACCCCTCCCACCCAGAGCCCTGACATCATCCAAGTCTTCTTTCTCCCATGCAGATGCTTTCTGCACCGGGCGGGCCAGCCACTCCTTAGTCGCTTGTGACGCCCCTGCAGATGATGAGAGGGAGAGGGATCGAGCTGCAGAGACAGATCTTCCTGGCCAAGGCTGGAGATGATTAATGGTCTTTGCGATCTCCCCACCCTAGAGACTAGCTGCAAAGCCGCATCTGAAGAAGAGGGGAAGCAGGGCGTAGGTGTGGCACCTGTTTCGGGGTGCTGCTTTCCAGTCACACAGGAAATAAGGAGGGGCCAGGCATGCAATTCCGCTGGTGGAGCACTCACCTAGCATGTAGGCTGCCCTGGGTTTGAGCCCCAGCACTACACAAAACTGGGTGTGGGTAGCATGCACCTGGAATCCTAGATAGAACTCAGGAGGAGGGGCAAGAGGATTGTAAATGCAAGGTCACTCTTTGCTACGCAGCAAGTTTGAGGGAGGCCACACTGCACTACTTGAAACTGTTTGGAAACAGAAACAGGGAGGGAGGGAGGGAGGGAGGGAGGGAGGGAGGGAGGGAGGGAGGGAGGGAGGGAGGGAGGGATGGAGGGAGGGAGGGAGGGAGGGAGGGAGATGGGAGTCTGCTTACCCAAAACAGACCATATACATAATATAGCAGGACATCCAGCTAAGCCACAGGATGCTTTTGGGAGTT